CTCCATAGCTGGCATTTAAAACCCTTCACAATCTGTTGGAAGCCTATATTTCCAATCTTAGATCATACCATTCACATGCACACACTTTCCACCCCAGTCAAGTAGGTCTCTTTGCTTTTTTTCTAAACTCAGCATTCTGTCTTCTGCCCAAGCATCTTGCACAGGCTTTTCCAAAGTCCTGGAAAGAACTTCCTCCTTGTTTCTGCTTTCTGGAATTCTTAGCTTCCTTCAAGGCTCAGCTCAGGTGGTACCTCCTCCAGGAAGCCTCCCCCTCTTCCCCTAGTTATTAATCTTTTTCTCCCTTCTCAAGTTACTTTATTTTTCAAATCACGAATTTAGAGTATCATGGAATAGTGGTACTCTATGCATGTCAAACACAAGGTCATTCGGGAGAACAGCTTGAACTGACAGGGTCTTGTGCCTACCATCCAGTTTGAAAACCCTTAAATTTTTAGATTCCCCTTACCTTCCCTCCAAAGCCTTGGCCTTGCCTTTTTGATATGATTCTTTCCTCCCTGGCCCTGAAAAGAACCTGGCTCCTGTTTGCCTCTCTTTATCTCCCTTCAAAAGCAAAATGAAGAGGATTTTCATTCAGTTTCAGAAGCCGAGACCTTTTGATCTTATTCAAATGCACCTTTGCCCCTAGCCCTAAAAAGAAGTTTGTCTACTGTCCCAGCTCCCTTTGAAAGCAAACTTCTACCTTCCAGTTCCCTTCATTATCTATTCTCATTGTCTGTTCAAATCTCTCAGACCTTCCAAATGGAATTCCCCCCTGGGCTCTTTTTCTCAACCACCTCCCCCTTCAACTGGCCTTTCACTGTGGCTACACCCAATCTCCCTTCCATTGTTTTGCCTTCCTATGACCCCTGGCCATTTTCCACCCTTAATTCTAGCTAGGCACCAAGAGGTCCAGGACCCAGGAGTTCTGTTCACCCCAGCTTACTAGCCACTCCCATCCAGATCTCCCTAGGCGCTTCCTCCCATCACCCCAAACTACTTGGCCACTCCTAGATCCCTCCCACAGTCTTTCTGTACTTAAGATTCACCTTTGCCCCCATTCTGATGCTGAGAATCTCTCAAGCCCAAAGGCTGAGGTTTTCTCATGCCCGCTCGTCCTCACAGGTGTCACCTGGCACATATGTGATTTATCTTTAATAAACTGTTCTCTGGCTGGAAGATTTGGGTTGAATTCATTCAGGCAGACCCATGTCACAATCTTGGGGTTCAGCACCCCAAAACCTCCCATGATCTTGGGGTACCTCTGCATGTAGGAGTACCCCAAAACCCCCATACCTCTTCAGAACTAGCTTAAAATGTAATTGGGGAATTCTTAACAAGTAAAACAATGAATAATTAATAGAATTTAACAAATAACCTATAATAAAACAAAGATAAGATTACATTTTAAAACTAAGTCAATATGCACCCGACAGAGATTCTTATGTATGGATTAGTGGCTCCAATTTCTATTTGATTTTGATACCACTACTATAGTGGATAGAGGAATTAGGAAGACCTGAGTTCAAATCTTGATTCAGACTATTATATGATCCTGAGCATATCATTTAATTTCTCTGGGTCTCAGAGAATCTGTAAAATGAGGGGGAGGGGGTCAGACTAGATGGCCTCACAGATCCCTTCCAGCTCTAAATCAATGTCAGCTAGTATGGCCTTAGAGGTCATCCATTTTGACTCCTTTCACATGAGTTCCTTTTGGGGTCATTGGCTAGCCACTGCCAATTGACCCACACTGAGCTGGAGATGGGCACTGTGGCTTCATTCACTCACAGTGAGACACAGTCCACCAGCAAGTGGATAGGAGTGTGTGTCTCTCCCAATTTAGCTAGTCAGATAATATACCCAATTCATTACATGAAAGAGGAGACAGCTACTTATTAAAAATGTTGGCTATCACTAGTTACAGGAGATGAAGAAGAGGATTGAAAGTCTCTGAAGCTATTAAAAGTGGGGAGAAAAGACCTAGAAGGAAGCCAGCTGGTCTAAACTGATCCTGCAGTACATGCTGGGGCCATCCTAGAAAATGGGGAGCACAGAACAAAATAGAGGTGGTTATGTCTGCTCTAATAGCCCACTTTTACTTCTTAACAATTCACTTATAACACTCTCATATGATTGAAGAAACTGAGACCCAGAGATTTGTCCAGAATCATAATAGATGACAAGTGGCAGAGCTGGGCTGCCACCCAGATTTCTGACTTCAAATCCAACCTTATTTCCATCAGTCCAGGCTTATTAACTTTTAGACTGATGCCTTTTGTCCCCCAGTTGACCTTCTTGCCTCCGCAATTTATCCCTATCCTCCCACCGATACCTTAAACACACTCCATCCTCACCTCTGCCTCTCAGAATTCTAAGAACCTTTAAGATTCAGTTCAAGTGATCCCGCCTTCACTGGCGGCTCAAGTGGTGGGAGCAGTGGACCTGGAGTCAGGGAGACCTGAGTGTAAATCTTGCTTTAGTTGCTGGCTGTGTGAACATGGGTGACTCACTTAACCTCTTTTGGGCTCAATGTCCTCATCTGTACAATGGGGATAATAGTACCTACCTGAAAAAGGAGAGAGTATATTTAAAGCATTTTATAAGCCTTAAAGCACAATGAAAATGATATTTAGAATTATCCTGGCTCAAAAATTCTGGGATGAATCTGAGGCTGGTACTTGGATAGACACACAGGACCTGTTTTCCAAGCCTTCCCAGATTTATAACACCTCCTCTGGCATAATCTGCAAGAGTCCTGGTGACCCCCATGCCCTCCTGGATCATCAGAATAGGACCAGTAGGGACTTAGTGTTTGTTGAATTGAATTGAAGATGTATTCTCCATAATGCCTAGCATGGGGCATTGAACACGATGGGCACCACGAGTGGATGAAGCAGTGATGGGATAAATGAATTGATAGGTTTCACTCATGCATTTGCCGGTTACTGTTGGGTTCTAGCTTATTGTCCCAACATCATAGGACTTCGAACCGAAAGGGACCTTGGAGATTGACTAAAGGCAATTGCACTCTTAAATGGAAAACTACCCATCAATCAAAAAGAATCTAATTAAATGTTCAATGTGTGCCAGGCATGGTGCTAAGCACTGAAGGAAGTAAAAGAAGGCACAAACCGTATTCCCTTCCCTTGGGGGAATAAGCATTTGTATAGTGCCTACTATGTTCCAAGAACTGTGCCAAGTGCTCTTCACAAATATCAGCCACTGGGTAATATTTGGAATTATCAAATTTGTAATATTTGCAACAGTAAACTCCTCAAGGAACCTACATACTAATGTTAGAGACAATGTGTAAATACAGAGGTATATCCCAGAGAAAGTAATCTATCTTGATATGCAGATATCTGTAATAGCTAGGGATGCCCAAGATGTTGGTATATCGTAGATGATATTCAGATACATTATCTATATGTACATATATAACATGTATATATACACACAAGTGCACATAGACTATACATATAATAAACATATGTAATACATATCTATATATGTGCATATATACTGTGTATAAATATAATACATAATGAATACATTACATACATATAATATGTATACATGCATATGTGCCTATATACGATGTATACATATAATAAAGATATTACATACATATATAATACACATGCATACATGCATATATAGTGTGTGTACATATAATACACACATATAATAAACCTATATTACATACATATATAATGTATATATACATATATTATCTATTTGCTCTCTAC